GCTGCGCTGGCTTCGCTGCCCCGCGCGTCCCTCAGCCCGTGCCGAACAAAGGCCTGGAAATGTCGTCTTTCAGGAAGGAATCCAGACTTTAATTAAAATCCATCATTTTGAGCATCTGTCCTGGCTGGGGACCAGTGCTCTGGGACAGCAGCATGTGCTTTAGCACCAGCAGGTCATCCTCCCACCTCCTTCCCACCCATCGCCTGAGAATGGGGGTCATGGGGACACCCCAAATGCCGGTGGTCCCCGTGCAAGCTGGGGTTGCTCGACGGCACGTCCGGCGGCCCAGACCTCGCCAAGGATGCGGACCTGGGTCTGCAGGTGGAGCAACGGGAGCCCTGTGAGGTGGTTACAGCCACTGTAAAGGGGAGATGGGACCCCTGGGGTCTGCGTTTCGTTGACCGTCGGGGTGGTGGGATGACTTGGATAGGGGGGGTCGGGGGCTTGTGGGGTGCTGTGCGTGGTGTCCCCAGTGAGGCTTGGGGCTGCTGCCTTCTTGCTGGCTGCCCGTGGGGTGGCGTTGTGAATCCCCTGCAAACCCTCCGAGTTCTGCAAACCCTGCGAGCGTGGGAGCCCCGGAAGAGAAGGAGGAAGCGCTGGGGGGTCAAGTGAGCAGCTGCCCAGCAAGGGAGATTTCCACCCTGGGATTTGGGTGTGGATGCCAAAAAGATGGCAGCAAGGCTTCCATTGGTGCTCTTCTTCCTCCTCTTCATCATGCAAGGTACGGCGGTGAGTTGTCCCAGGGCGAGGGGGCTGGGCTGGGGGGAGATGGCTTTGGGGACAGTGGGGGACCTTGGGGAGGTACCCACGGGTAAACCCTTCCCTGGCCCAGCCCTGTCCCCTGGCTTTTCCCATCCTGGCGCTGTGCCCGAGGTGCATCCCACCGGCACCCTGCCCACGGGACCCCCCGGCATCGCCACCAGCAAGCTCTGGGTGAAAGGCTGCTCCCCTGGTGAGCCTGGAGTGGGGAGAGGACACCAAAAACGAAAGCAAAGGGAGAAAAACTTCACCGGGGGATCCGGGCGGTCTCATGCTCGGGGTGGGGAGGCGGAAATCCTGCCACCAGCTGTAGGGCTTGTCCCTGCCACACGCCTCCGAAGCTGAGAGAGTGCAAAGGCATTAGGAACTCATGAGTAAACGGGTGATTTGCATTTTCCATGTGTTGGAAGAATCGAGGTCCTCAAGCAGCAACGAGTTCCGGGCAGGGGTGGGTTGTGTCCGGCTGGCCAAGCAGCACCAGTCTCCGCTTTCTCGCCAGCCTGGGCACAACGTGATCCATCGAAGGTCATCGGGGCTGTTCGTGGGGTGGCTTCTCTCAGCCCCAGCCGTCAAAACCAGATCACCTACCAGCAAATCCACTGGCGACGCAACGACTCTGTGAGGATCGCCAGCCGGTACCGCGGGGCCAGCGCCCAGTACCCCAACAGCACCTACAAGGGACGCCTGGAGCTCTTCCCCAACGACACACTAAAAATCAGCTCGCTGCAGAAAAGCGACAGCAGCATGTACCAGGTGTATCTGGAGGACGAGGTGGGCAAGGAGCACGTTGAGACCATCCTCCTGACGGTGTACGGTGAGCTGGGAGGACGGGAGGGTTGTCCCAGTGCCCCGTGGTGGGGACAGGGGGGCTGTGACATCTCTCTGCCTCTTGCAGATCTGGTCCCGAAGCCCACCGTGACTGCCAAAGTGATCAGGGATGAGCTGGAGCGGTGCAGTGCTACCCTGGAGTGCTCGGTGGAGCTCGAAGGGGTGACCTACGAGTGGATCTTTCCCAGCAAGCTCCCGCTGGAGGGTGCGGGTGCCTCCGAGCAGCACATCTCCTTCAACCCCTTGGTAGAAACCTACATCTGCAAAGTCAGCAACCCTGTCTCCTCCGACAACGCCTCGCTGACCTACAGGCACCCCTGCTCCTGGACAGGTACCGCCTGCGGCGCATGCACGAGATGGGAAAGCTCGGGTGGGATGGGCGATGAGGTGGCCTTGGCTTTGGAGGGTCCCTGGAGCAGTGGTGGTGGCCCTGAGGACAGTGGGTCTCTGCAAGGCTGCAGGTGGCCAGTGGGTCCCTTTTCCCCCTGCACCGCGGGCTGGTGGGTGGCCGGAGCCGGCGGGGGGGGGGGCTGGGGGGCCCCCTGCCACAGCCGGACAGCCCACAGCCCTCCCCACACCCCGGGTCTCCCTCTGCCTCCAGGTGAGTCCTCCGCTGCCGCGTCCTGCACCACCACCAGCGTGCTGGTGGCCCTGGGACACCTCCTCCTCCTCCTCTTGCTCCTCACTCTGCCTTAAGGATGCTCCACGGTTGACACATCTCATCTCATCGCCCCCCACTATGGGACCAGTGCCTGGATGAGGGCCCCAAACTGGTTGGGTGTGGAAAGACGCGGCTGCTCAAGGTGACCATTACGACCAGCGTCCGTTGCACCAGCACCCACCCACTCTGACCCACAGCCGCCTGCTTCCAGCAGCCCAGGCTCTGGCTGGTCTGCCACTGCCTTTAGGGTAGCTCTGTGCCTCAGTTTCCCTTCTCGCCTTTTCTGCTTTGTTTTAATCGGAGGTCACGTTGTCCAGCTCTGAAGAAAACGGAGCCGCAGTCTGTTGCGACGGTGTCTTGAGAACCCCGGCAATTTAAGTTGCTGAATTCATGGTTAACTGCTTGGAAATCCTCCTCTCCCCGAGATCGGCGAGCAGACCAGGTCTGAGTCTTTCCCGGGGTCCTCGGCCCTCGCCTGCTGTCAGCGATGCCACTTAAGGGACCGATGAGCGGTGTGACAGCGCAGGACAGTGCAATGTTTTTAGCCCAAAACCGGTGACCCCAGCACGGGTGCAACTAGAGGTGCAGATATTAAATTAATTTTAACCTGAAACCCCACACTTTTCGGTGCCTGTTCTGAATTCTTCTCTGGGCTGGGGCTGGGCACAGCAGGT